GGATTAAGTTCGTAAGTAGAGGTACCACTGTATTACAAATTTGTATGATTTTCAGCTCCTGATGCAAAACCTCCACTTCCGTTGCAAATAGATCTACTAATCAGAAAGCTAGACTCTCAGTACTGTGATGGTTTAGAGAAAAAAAAGTGGGTACTAGATTAGAAATGTGAAATTCAATGATACAAATTCTGTATGAGATTGAGATCAGCACTACACTTGTTAGAGAAAGAGACTCAGCCTTGTTCATTGTAATGCTAAACAGTGGCTTAACATTACACATCTAATAATTCAGACCTTCATTGTAGATCTGCACCTGGAGTTTTGCACATGAAAATACCCATGGATAGCTTTATGTGTCCATATTCTATTTGCTGCTGTACATTGGGCTTGTGCTATTCCAGCAAAAAACGTTTATTATACCATCAATCAAATTTCTTAAAATATCTATTACTCATTTATGGTATGCCTCACATACTTGGGCATCAAAAATACAAACTTATAGAAAAAAATCTGTTAAGAAAGAATGTCTTTTTCCACATAGAAGATATGGGAAATCACACTGATTATGTTGAGGTGCACAGGCATAAAAACCTCTATTTTTTTCAGGCTGCTTCTAGCCATTTAGCATCAAGGAAAGGACTCAGAACTTGGGTGCTAACGTCAGCATAATATCTTCTGAAAAATGGTAACAAGGAAAGTGGCCTTTTAGTGGAGTTCAACTCCTGATGATTTCATGGGAAGAACGAAAGCTTAAAGCCCCTTAAGAAGCAGAATGCGTTAAAGAGAGAACTGGTAGGAATTCTATCCAAGACTCAATGCCTATTGAAAATGTAAATGGAGGTGGAGGTGATCTGAATAAGAATTGTCTTCTGCCTTCTCTCACTAGCACAGATTGATTTATAGCTCACTTTTCCAACTTTAGGCTGAGGTAAATATAAGGAGAAGCATATGATAGATGAGGACATAAGCACCTGTGATCTTGCAGAGTTACAGGGGCTTAAAAATGCTACTGTCCATCATTGGATGAAGAAAAAAATTGAGCATTCTCAGAAGATCTGCCACCCTTTTAAGAAGAGAAAGGAATTGAAGACCTATCTGCGTCATTCTGTTCTGATCACATTCTAAGCTTTATTCACTTAAACTGGCACCCTTGATTGGAGGGGAACTTATTTCATCATGTAGCTTTCTCTTTCATTCACTGAACGCAGAAAAGAGTGCACTGGTATTCAAATGCCTCATAGAATTAAAATGTTGCAGAAATCAGAGTGGGAAAGAAAGTTTGCCATGGTAGGAAATAATATATGGGAGTGAAATAATATACTTGATAATGTAAATTGTCCTTTCAGCATTTAGAATGTTTACCTGAGATGCCTTGTCATTTATATTTTTAATACTTTTGAGATTTAGTAATTGCCCAGTTAGCTAATCACTTTTAAGATGACATAGAATGAAACACTAATAAAGTCTTTGTAATTCAAATGGAGAACAACCCACTAGATCCACTTAAAACAATAACCAATTAAAAGGAAATGCTACAAGACATACCACAAGAAAATCTAATAATACCCTAAAGCACAGCAGAAATATAAAGGGGATAAAAGATGGGAAAGAATATAAAGATCTTTGCCTGGCACTGAAACAGTACCAAAGTAGACTTTTTAGCATATTCTACAGCTGGGACCGGAGTCGAGCTTCATCTTGCATAGCCACCTTTACCTAGGCATAAAAGGAAACTTATAACAGAGCAGATGTAGGAACGAGGATCTCAGGAACAGATAGGTGTGATGTAGTTGATAAGATGATGGAGAGTGATTCAGGGAGGCCCAAACTTAAGGCAACCTCACTGGGTAGCAGTCTCTCTCAAGTCCATCCTACTTCGTTGTTACAATGGGAGAAAAATTGGAGAAGGGAATTCCATCTATATCGCCCTGAGCTCATGGAAAAAAAGTCAGGAAATAAGTCATTACTAGATTTTTTTTTTTAATTAGCTCTTATTAAATACATTCTCAAGGACAGCCCCAGAAACAATGTTCTGTAGTAATTAAATAGGAAATTACTAAGGTATAGATCCTTGAAGCCAGAAGATCTTAATCAAAATAGAATCGTAGCTGATGTACTAGTTTAAGATGGGTACAACTTAGGGAAAGCATGCAGAACATGGCTTCTCATTTTTTTTCCCCAATCCTTTGACCAGCAATGGCCATAGGAAGTGTGTGTATTTTTTTCTGTGTAATGAGATGTGTGTATGTGTGTGTTTCTGGTTTCCCCTTGTATTGTGACTGGGTACATTTGTATGTATGGGTACCCTGGGAAGCACAAGGCAGAATCACATGCTCCTCCCTAGATCCAGGAGGGAGGAGGCGGGGCTTAAAACAGTTGCCAACCTTCCCAGCTGCTGCCCAACTGCCTCTCCCAACAGGGCAGCACTAGGGGATGTTTTCCTGGATTTTTTTTTCTCCACAGCCCCTGTCTGGATCTGGCCTACTTTTGAACCTGACCCTTCTCTTGCCAGTTTCTCCCAGTAGACCAGATTTAAGCCTGTTCTGTTTGGTTTTCAGAAAGCTATCCTGCTGATGGACAGACAGACAGATGGGCCAAGATGAACAGCCAGACAGATGGCTCAGGACTGCCTATTTGTCCGTCAGCAGGCCAGTCCCTGAAAACAGAACAGAGTGGGACCAAATTTGGTATAGTGGGAGAAGGCGACAAAAGAAAAGTCAAGTTTGAAAATGGGTTGGATCTGGCCTGTGGCTTTAGAGAAAAAAAATCCAAGAAATTTTTGCATCCAGATGAGAGAAGCAATTGAGCATCAACTCAGAATACAGTGGTACCTCGGTTCATGAACTTAATTCGTTCCACGATTCTGGTCGCGAACTGAATTGGTTGCGAACCGAATCAAATTTCCCCATAAGATTCAATGTAAATAAGGTTAATCCGTTCCAACCCCTACGAACATGGTTGCCAACCTAATTGGTCGCCAACCGAATCAAATTTCCCCATGAGGTTCAATGTAAATAAGGTTAATCTGTTCTGAACCATATGTATTTTTTTTTTAACCACAA